CGCGGGGTAGTCAGTGAATCAGTCTGTGAAGGACCGTGATAGAGGCGGGATGTCGACGGAGAAATTGAGAGTCACCGTTACTGATAATGACTACGATGGCGATGAGCTCGTCGGGAACACCATGCTGTCGAAATGGGACATCGTCAGCGTTACGATATATTTCATCCTCGTGATGGCTGCGGGGTTTTATGTGAGTATTGGCCTTTTGCCTCCGCTGCCGCTCTTCGTTGCAAGGCGATGTTTTCTCGTACTTTCGGAAGTTCCGATCGTGGTCCTAGGTTTTTTATCAGTTTCCTTTACTCAGGTAGCAGGTACGATGGTTAGAATAATCTTTACCTTATCAGTTGAGTGCATATGTTGCGAGAATACTGTACATCCGGCACATTTTGCTGGCGGCAGCACGTGGGGTATCGCGACGCCGTCTGGGGAGCTCGGAGATTTAATTGATAGAGGGATGAGGTTTTTATTGTGCTCAACGTAGTTCAAAACTCTTTTCAAGCTTTAAAAAAACAGCTGATAAGAAAATGCACTTCACATATTGACAGTGAAGCGCGGTGACTGCAACTTGTTGATCAGGAGTAAAATAATGACCTAGTGAATGCGTTCCCCATATCAGCCAGCAGGCAGGCCTCAGTGCCGATGCCCCGTCAGGGTATTGGGTGTTGATGTGTGTGACGCAACTTTACGTCGTCTGCAGCAGCCATTGCTAGACAGGAAGAAACCTAATAAGAGAAAATCAGTATATTGGATGGGAGACTAGAGTAAACTTCAGAGCGGATTTTCAAGCTCATTTTTAGATGAATATATATATGCATTATATTAATGTTTTCGGTCACAGGAGCTCCGCTTACTGTACATATACCCCCAAAAATTCAGTCCATGTTGTGATTTTTAAATATATCTTATCTTCAGATTGTCGGATTATGAGTCTCCGCCTAATAATTAGTGAAATTTGTAGAAAGACCTACATTACAGATATTTAAACCGATTTCCAATAAAACATTCCGAAATGCGTATGATTTAATTATCAAAACAAACAGAGATAACAGTCAATGGAAGTAAACGTACGAAAATCTTCAATAGAGTTGTATTACTACGCTCGTACTATGAGACAAGCTTTCCCGCGCTTTCCCGCTCATTCATGATAGTAGTAGTATTGGCATTGCACCAGACCGACGCTTGTTTGCACGGGGGAGGGCATGCTACCCCGCTGAGATACAGAGGGAGCAGGAGGAAGGTGGAACTGGAAATATCTCTTGGCGAATTAAGGGAGGTTTCATTGTTTAATTGAAATGTTTGTAGAGAATCCTAAGTCTAGAATGGAGATTGATGGTAGGCCAATTGGTAATAGTGGCAGCAGCAATAGTAATGAAAAATATTATTACAATTATAATAGATCATTAATTGCAACATTTAAGAATGTATAAACCGGGAATATATATTAATAATAGAATGACTCAGAAATAACAAAACAGAAAATCACCTTCATGAAATGCAAATGAACAAAATCGTTTCATACCAGAATTCTGATAAAGCATTACGCAAGCGGGATATGTAACCAAGAAGTATTGTTACATGTGTAGCCGTCCTTCAAAGGAAGATGCATGGCTTATCGATTACCTATCCCGGATGCTTTCGTCATGCGGTCGGCAACATGCATGTGCCAAGTCACGTTGATTTGCCAAACGGTGTATTGCATTTTCCATGAAAAGGCAAGTAGTCATTTTTGCATGTAAAGGTCGCTTCCCTGTTTGCTTTGTAACGCATAAACTTGGTGTGGAATTTGGAGTATGTGTGGGTGCGGCATGTGCAATTAAGACTCATTTGAATACCACAGTCCACTTTTTGTAGGGGTTCCTAGAAACACACGAAACCGCCATGCAAAATTAAAGAGTAACCTGTGCCAGTTATTCTCGTGCAATTAAGTGGGAACCTCCGGATTTAATTTTATTTTTTTCTCTGAATTATGATGAATTAATCTGCGGACGCATTCATATCTGTTTACGTATATGTCTACCTCCCTATCTTTGCATATCTACATGTCTCAATCCATGTGTGTTTGTGTATCTATTTGTGTCTGTTTATATACAATGTACGTATGCACTACTCCGGAGGTGCTATCCATGCTTTCGCAAACGGAACCTTTCCATTATTCGGTCGGAGTCTCGCGCCACGTATAGCCCTTTCACAGTACTCCACATCTATTGATTTATAAAAAGTACTTTTCCACAAGGACATTCCTCAGCGAAACCTTTGTGAAATGCAGCGGCTAAATTCTCAGCGGAAAGTCCTTATACGCAGCGAACTACATACGGTTGTCTCTTTTATAATTGCTGAGGTTTATTAACATTTATATATTACACTGGATATTTTTCACACAGCGAGCTAAATATGAGTACCATGGAGAAACAAAATGTCCTTTTTTCCGAAGAGGTATTTCTGTAGTCGTCTCATGCCTAGAATTCTACTTTAGACTTGAAAAAGATATCAGAATCAACATTAATTATGTAAAATGTGTTGTGTACATGTTTATGTAGTGTGTGCTTACATGCATGCATACATATATACATACATAACTTGTATGTTTATATGTGTATACATATCTATACACGCAGCATGAACGTGTGTATGCGTACGTATATGCATGTGTACAGTCTTGGATTACTCCTTTGTGGAAAAGTACCGATGCGATACAGAACAAACTCTAAGTCTGGTATAGGCCATGTTTCGTTTGCAAGCAGAACTTGTCAGAAGCAAAGGCAAAATTAACCTTATTTAGAAAATGCGTGTTGATTTCAGCAGAACCCCCCCCCCCCCTCTCTCTCTCTCTTTCTCTCTCTCTCTCTCTCTCTCTCTCTCTCTCTCTCTCTCTCTCTCTCTCTCTCTCTCTCTCTCTCTCTCTCTCTCTCTCTCTTTCTCTCTCTCTCTCTCTCTCTCTCTTTATTTTTTATTCTTTCATTTTATTTTTTATTTTTATGTATATAAATATTTTTTTTATGATTCCGAGTGAATATCATTTTCAAACGACTATTGATTAAACTGATTAATTCGGAGAACTTTTAGCCCTACCTAAAAGAGGGTTTCGTGCTCAAAAAGGGTTTCGTGATTTTTTTCTTCATTTTTTTTTTTATTCCGTGTGAAAATCATTTTCAAAGGCCTATTGATTAAACTGATTGATTCGGAGAAAGTTCGAAATTTATCGAATGATGTAGCCCGACCTAAAAAAGGGTTTCGTGCCCAAGGGAAAGATAAAAAATGCAATAATAAATAAAATTCTGTTAATGATAAGGTGAAAAGGTGATGCGTCATTTTTGCGTACCTGCCGGTGTCAACTTCTTTCGGATTTCCTACTTGCGCATGTGTCTATCTGTTTACGTATTTTTTTGTTTCTATGCATTTATATGTAAAATATAATCTATTTATGTGAGTAACTATACACACTCATCGAAAAAAGTGCATGGGGCCGCAACAGACACCATGCACATTCTTTTGCTTCTGTGTTGCACGTGGATATATTTTCGTATATTATACATATTCACTGTACGAATTTTTTTTACCATTTATTGTGTTTTGTTGTACAGGTATCCGCGAATGCTCTTTACGTAACATTATGACAAGGAGGATTAACTGGCTATTTGTTAGTTATTCTTATCAAATGTCTGAAAGGATAAACCTTCAAAATATGGGAAAGGGTGAACTTGACTCGTGCCCGTGCATCTATGCAGTATACTTGCATGTGTACGTGTGTCTGTCAGTCTGTCTGTCTTTGGTTTTGTGTCTGTGTCTACCTGTCACTCTGCGTCGACGCTGGATTAACAACAATAAATATAAGCAAGTGCTTAACCCAAAGGTGGATCGGTTTATTTTTTATTGTTTTATTACACCTGATAAATCATCTTTAGGCTCTATATGGCGTATCTCAGATGCCAGGTGAGATAAATACAGCCTAAAGCCTAAAGGGGTTTCAGTGGAAAGGTCGAGGGTCGCCTTTGAAAGGGCCGAAGGGGATCATTTGAACGTCCGAAGGGGCACCTTTGAAGGGGTCGATGGTCATCATTCGAAGTACCGAAGGGATCCGCTTCAGAAGGTCGATGGACACCATTTGGAGGGTCAACTTAGAGGGGCGAGGGTCATGCCACTGGAAGGTCCGAAGGAGCAGCTTTGAACTGGTTTATAGGAAGGGACGAAGTTTACCATTTGAAGGCCCAAAGGGCTCCCTTGAAAGGGTTGATGGGCACCAATGGAAGACTGTCCTTTTGAAAGGAGCAGTGGGTATTTTCGGAAGGAACGAATGGACACCAATGAAGGGGTTGATGTAAAGGCCGAAGGGGCACTTTTGGAAAAGCCAAACGTGCACTTTTTAATGATCTGGTAGGCACCGCTAGAAGGGCCGAAAAGGCGTCTTTGCAGATCCTATATATACCATTCGAATACCCGAAAGCGAACACCTTTGGGACTATGGAAAGGACAAAACGGCACCTTTGGAAAGGCCGAAAGACCCAGTTGGACACTTCTGAAAGGGCCGAGTGAAACATTTGGAAAGGACGAGGAGTTGCGCTGGAAAGACAGAAGGGAATCACTGACATGACCGAAGGGCTATCAGTGGAGGGACCAAAGTAGCGTGGTTAGAAGGGGGCGAAGGAACGCTTTCAAATGGGCTGAGGGGCTCCATTAATAAAGCTGAAGGTCTGAAGGAGGAGCGTTAGGAGTGCCTTTTGTGTGTGTGTGTGTGTGTGTGTGTGTGTGTGTGTGTGTGTGTGTGATTAATGAAATTGGGAATTTTTTTCCCTTTGTAGTCCGGAAGATGTTTTTAACTAGTGTATCTGGAACCTTGGCTTTTTCGAAAAAAGGCCTAAACAAAAATGCAGATGCACTCGTTGGCAATTGTGATCAAAAGTTCAAATGATAGTTTATCGGGAATTCCTCGGTGACACAACGTAACTTATCATTTATATTACTCTCAATAATCATAGACAATATTTTTTTGTTTGTTAAACCTTTCCTTTATTTTCTGGTAAGAATAGTTTGGATATGTGGGAGATAGTGAAGAGAAGGCGATATTTAGGCCTATCGAGGCATCAACTAACATTCAGTGGGTACGGAGTAGGCATAGATTTAATGCGAATGTCAAAATTGTATATATTTGCCCCATGACGAGAACTGACGTGGACAGGTAAATGAAGTAGGGGGCGGGGGAGGTTACAACTAATTTTAGAGCCCAAGGTTACATTTTAGGTAAGGAAACGAAAACGAGATTGCAAAATGTGTTCCTTTTTACTCATATTTCCCGGGACTTTAAACGGGCCCTCTAATTAGACGTTGACATGCCTTACCCACGTTATAAAATTTCCTGGTTAGATTTTTTTAAACCACAAATAGATGCTTAGAAGCATTCCCTTTTTATCACTCATGCCGTTAGGGACCTGTAAGGGCATGAGTTTATTTGCAATCACATATTCAGAAAGTAATTTTCCGCTATAGATGTTCGATTCGACAGATTGCACTTGCGAAATTTTGTTGTTCAGTGTTTTAGGACTTTGAGAGAGCATGGTACTAGAGAGTGCGTCCCTCAGCCTACTTTTCTTTGCTGATTATTATCGCATTCCGTGACACTATTGATCAGGTAGTGCGCGCGCATTTCAGCTTTTCCATTGATATATTTTTCAGGGCAATTCATTTTTGTTATCTGCTTGATTAGGATTTGATTTTTTGTAAAAAAAAAGGAGTAATCGCGTAATGTTTAACAATATCATGTGATTTAATTTTCATCTCCCTCGAAATTCATAGAGACTGTGAGGCATATTATTGATTTTTATTTCTCTGGTTTCTGAGACGCAGTTCCTGTCTCCCATTTTAAACTCGAGCGCTTTTTAATAGTCTTCTCGGGTATTTTGGCAACCATGCATTAATTCTTGAGAAGAACATGCAGGTAGGCAGACATGCAGAGGTTTAAAGGTCATTCCGCGGGCCGGCAACATGGCAGAGCACCAACCAACAGCATATAAGGCTAAACCTTTATTTATCTTCGTGAGACACTTTTCACTCAGTCATTTGTCTCCCTCCCTTCTCTTTCGGGGTGACCACTCGATGGCAGAGAAATGTGCACAGTGTCGACAGTTCAAAACCAAACGTAAACATGAACCGTAAAGCGCACGAGGCTTCGACATGTCTCCACCGATGAGATCTTTCGAGACTCGAGGCTAGATTGTTGGATATGAGAGTCTCCAGGTGAAATGTCGCAATGGTCGTTCTATCTGGTGATTTTTGACTTGCCGGAATCTTGTTTTGGTATGTTGTTGAAGGTACTTTTGTGTTTGTTACTTAGCAAAATGATATAGTCGGGGGGATTCTCTGCGCATGCGTTCATTCTCGTGCATGCCGACATGATTATCATCAGGTGGTGTTGCATTTCACTGTGATTTTAAACACGTGCTAGTTATTTGTTTCTTTTTTTGGTGTGAACAAGATTTTGAGATTTCCTTGAACTAAAATATAATTATGAGAAGATGCAATTATTCAAGCATGACATTACGCCTTTTCGTCATTGGTCAGCGTTGTGGAAAATTCCTCATGACGCATGGAGAGTAACTCCTTTGTATCCCTCCCCCCCCCTCCTCTTCTCACGTTTCTCTCTCTCTCTCCCTCCCCCCCCCCTCTCTCTCTCTCCTCCCTCCCCCCCCCTCTCTCTCTCTCTCTCTCTCTCTCTCTCTCTCTCTCTCTCTCTCTCTCTCTCTCTCTCTCTCTCTCTCTCTCTCTCTCTCTCTCTCTCTCTCTCCCCTCTCCCCTTCGTTCCCTTCACACCCCTCTCTTAATCACTCCCTACTTAAAGTCCCCTTCCTCACTCTCCTTCTCCCCTCCTTTCCCTGTTCCCCTTCTCTCCTTTCTTGCCCCACTCCTTATCTCTCTCTTTAATTCTCCCTCTTCTGTATCCCCCCTTCGCGTAGCGTACATCCCCCCCCCCCCCCCGTTCTGCTACGCGATTTATCTGCGCATGCCCATTGAGGTCCAATAACTTTGCGTTCTCGTCTCCGAAGTGACGAGAGATAGGGGAGAATTTCTAGAAAAACGCCCTGGTTCGCGTCTCCCCTCTCCCCTCTACCTCTCTCCCCTCTCCCCCTCTCCCCTCTCCCTCTCCCCCCTCTCCTCTCTCCCCTCTCCCCTCTCCCCTCTCCCCTCTCCCTCCTCTACTCCACTCCCCTGGTAGCGCTCGGTCTCTTTTTTTTCGTTTTATTATTATTATTGTAACTATTGGTGGTGTTATTTTTTTCCCTGAAACTGATTATTGAAAAATACGTCCTTGGTGAATATTTTGTATTTTGTTTCACCTGACTGTTGTTCGACGTGTTATCGATGGGGAGGATTCCTTTTTCGTATTGTTCAGTTCTTTTATTTCTTTTGCAATAATCACCATCATCACTATAATTACGGAGAAGATAGTTGTTTCAATGATCAAACGGTAATATAGATGAAAATTATAACCATAAGACCTTGCAGAAGAGCTACTGAAATTTGATAACAACTTTCATAGAGAACGACAGGTATTTTGATGGCGATAATAACAGCCTACTTTGTCCATGTCTGCGTATGCGATTAAACAACGGGTGCCTGGACAATGGCGCAAATTTGCAGTTATTGAGGTTTGTTATTGTTTATCTCTCACAGCAACAGAGTCCGTTGTTTGCCTTCATGGAGAACCATCTCTGCGCACTTGGAAAGGCAGTGGAAGATTCCCCTTAATACAAGGAGTGATGGATTTCCATTCGGGCATGACGTCTTGATGTCTCTCTCTCTCTCTCTCTCTCTCTCTCTCTCTCTCTCTCTCTCTCTCTCTCTCTCTCTCTCTCTCTCTCTCTCTCTCTCTCTCTCTCTCTCTCTCTCTCTCTCTCCCTCCTTTCTTCTTCTCTCCTCTCCTCTCTACTCTCTACTCTCTACCCTCTCTACTCCTCTCTCTCTCTCTCTCTCTCTCTCTCTCTCTCTCTCTCTCTCTCTCTCTCTCTCTCTCACTTTCTTTCTCTTTCCTTCTCTCCTCTCCTCTCTCTCTCTCTCTCTCTCTCTCTCTCTCTCTCTCTCACTTTCTTTCTCTTTCCTTCTCTCCTCTCCTCTCCTCACATCTTCTTCTCTCCTCCTCACATCTCTTTCTCTCCCACCCTCCTCCCTCTTTTAGTACATTTCATCATATCAATATACGCTCGCATACATCTTATTTTTTTATGAATGGAGGTGGTTGCAAACAGATGAAAATAGCTAGGTTGGAACACGGCGTTTGTTCCAGAAAAAAGTCGCATACCCCGTCGCCTTGCGTCCCGGGATACTGTTGACATATTATCTCTTTCGTCTTTTCTGGTATTTATTATCATATTTTCTCCTATTTATATATTCATATATATATATATATATATATATATATATATATATATATATATATATATATATATATATATATATATGTATATATATATATATATATATATATATATATATATATATATATATATATATGTATATATATATATATATATATATATATATATATATATATATATATATATATATATATATATATATATATATATATCTGTGCGTGTGTGCGTGTGCGTGTGCGTGTGTGTGTGTGTGTGTGTGTGTGTAATTTTGTTTACTTGCTTTTTCTCCTTCCACTTCGTCTTCTTTCTTAATGTATTTCCGCGTTTAGTTGATAGATAATTTATCGTTATGATTCATTAAGCCAATTTCGCATTTTGTAGTAGTTATTGCCATTACTCTCAGCATAGGAATTAGTGACTTAAACATCGTCGCCGTCGTTATCATCTTCACCATTATTGTTGTTATTGTTATTATTATAAACAAAGCCGATAATGGAGACCATAATAAACCAACACACATCTTTATACAACAGATTAAGTATTTAAGAAAGCTTATAAAACAATGAATAAATATTTAAGAAAACCTATAAAAATGATTAAATGTTGAAGAAAAATTATAAAAAAAATATTAGATATTTAAGAAAACCCATAAAAATTATTAAATATTTAAGAGGCGATGTATGCATGTGGGTATGGGTGGGTGGGTGCGTGCGCGCGCATGTATTGTGTTGTATGCGTGAGAGAGAGAAAGAGATGTGGGAGGCAGGCAGACGGAGTGTCCATACTTGCAGGAAGATATGAGTGACCAGTTTATATTTGTATTGCAGTAACAAAAGCGATTTATTATATCATGATTCCAGTGATAGTAAATCTGATAGAATTCATTATACTGATCATCTGATATTCTGTCACTGTTAATAATTAACTACTGATATAGTTAATTAGTATAGAATTTGATCTTTGCAACTCTGATACTAACTTTCATATTAATACTTGCCTATATTTATTTGATTCCTTTTCACGTATTACCTTATTTTATTGTTTTATTAATTATTATTATTATTTTCTTTCGCAGTCGATGTGTCGGCCGAACCGGGGTACTGTTGCCGGTTACTTCCTGGCTGGCCGGTTCATGTGGTGGCTCCCGGTAAGTACTGGGGAGGTGGAGGAAAAGGAGAAAGAAAGAACGAGTAAAAGGAGATAAGTGGAGGAGAGGATAAAGATGTGTAAATGGAAGAAGGAGGGAATAATGGTGTGAGAGAAATGGAACGCATGGTTGACATTTACATTTAATGACTCATTTTCTCACTCTTTCAGAAGCTTGTACACCCATTCACATTATTCTGTCATGTACTCATACATCCATACACTCATTCACTCTCTCATTCTCTCATACATTCAATCATTGATACTCTTACACTCAACCATACACTTATACACTTGATAAATTATACATGTATACATTTACTATGTCGCTTACTCATGTACACTTACACTTATTCTGTCATTCACTCATACAGTTTTACAATTCACTCTTGTTCACCCGTGCACACTTACACCCTGTTATTCGCTCATACACCTACACATTTACGCTCGCACTCATACACTTACTTGCTCTCTGACTCACACACCTACAC